GGACGAATAGTATTATATTCTATCACATTCAACGCCGCTACGACGGTTCGTTTTTAATTTTTTCTTTGCAGGTGACTAGTTTCCATGTACAATGATAAAGTAGTTATAATGATAATAATAATAATAATTGTATAAGACAATGGTTTATACAATATAATAACATAATATTACAATAATATTATATATATATATATTATATAATAAAATAGAACGAGATAGATACGCGGCGCGTATAGTCTTTAAATACCGTTTTGCCGTGCGCGAGGACCGCACTAGACGCTCGTGGTAGACCCCGGGCCCCCGCCGCCCATCGACGGCGAGGGTGACGCGGGGGTGGCGGACCGCCGACCGCCGCCGGGCGACATCGACGAGCGCGCGGGCGACGTATGAGCYTGCTGTACCTGTCCGCCGGCCGGCTGGTGCGTCGGCGGCGGGCCCTGTTGCTGTTGCTGTTGCTGCTGCTGCTGCTGTTGTTGCTGTTGCAGGCCTTGGGCGATGAGGTGCGCCATGGTGGGCCGGTGCGACAGGAGCGATTGCAGTTGGTGCGGGTGGCCGAACAGCTCGGACGGGTGTTGGAAGTAGTGCGGCAGGTGCGGGTTGCCGTACAGCGGGTGATGAGGCCTGGCCGCGGCTACCGCAGCCATCTTCAGTTTTTCGATCTCGGCCTCTTGCAGCCGCTTGGCTTTGGCTCTGCGGTTTTGGAACCATATCTTCACCTGTTAATTCGCACACAAGTCGCAGAGATTAGAAAAGTAATGACGACGATGCGACATTTTATTGTTACGGCGTACACGTCATTATAACGGGTTTCAAACGTAGAGCAGTTCAAAATAATATGGTGTTGTTAAAGTAATTTATTCAATATTACGCCGAGCTTGCTATTGAACATGTCATTAACTACCCTCTAAAAACATCAGACCCACGCGGGCTATGTTATTCCCCCGCCCTATTCAATCAAATGCATGTTTCATTTTAAAATCTTTTTTTTTTATTTTCTATAATAATTATACAATCTATACTTCTTAGCATAATGAGTATAAGTGATAAGAGACAGAAAAAAATAAGACACATGATGGTATTCGTGATTAAGAAAAGTCACCCACTAGAGGACCCTTTGCGTGATGGGGTTTTTTAAATCTAATAATACAAATCATTGCAAATGGTTTTAGGTATAACGTTTCGTAACGTAGTTCCACACGAATAGTGTGAAAATAATAACTAATAACTAATTACAGTTGTACTCCTGTAGGAATTTTATTATTCAGAACGGCGAGCGTATCACATTAAAGTAGACCTACAGTATTAACAATATTATAGATTGATTATTAGTTCCTATTAAATTTGCAATTTGCAAGTCACAATTTATAAATATTGCCTTTTGCGAGACATATACATGCATACTATATTAGTATTCAGTAAACTATGATAATATGTATTGTGTGTACCTATTTATAGATCATGCAGCATAATATATGTATAGATATTATTGTGTCTATACTCTATAATAGCACCATCCCATGCCATTAGAACTAAATTGTTTTAGGAACACCTGTTAATGGTGCTAGACGACACTAATTACATTATAATATATCCGTAYATATAGTATACATGATATAGGGAGCATAGGAAATCCGAAACCCATCACGACGTGTCGCAAAAATGTCAAACACATAAAAGTAATCAAGTATAGGTACAAAACAATTGCGTTACCTGTGTTTCGGTCAGGTGCAGCGAATTGGAAAACTCTGCCCGTTCGGCGATGCTCAGGTACTGTTTTTCCCGGAACTTTTTCTCCAGGTTCAATAACTGTTGCGTGGTGAACGGCGTCCGGGGCTTCCTGTTTGGCTTGTGCTTCCGCAGGTTACATTTGAGTTTGGGCGGTTCGCCGTTGTTGGAATCTGAAAGAGAAAACGGAAATGAGTACACCCGATAAGCACGTCGCACATTGATATCTCGTATCGTTTAGGTAGTTTCTAATATAATATTATATTATTATTTTAAGTACGAATAAAACAACGACCAATAATAATTTCACAGCGTTAAAAAATATCGTTTKATCAATATAATTTAACAATGACAATGTATTGTTATTGATAACAATATACGATAATATTATCGTGTCGAAGACGGCATACACATGCAGTAAAAAACTAGGGACACGAGCTCACAGGCGCGCACACGC